TCACATTTTGTATTCATGTTTTTTTGGTGGGGGTTGAGACTACTCCCCACTACACCTGCCAGACAAACAGTTTACCGACTGACGACGTTGTCGACGACAACAAAAATTACGCTTCATACAAATTTATTATTTATTTATGTTGATAAAATACAGCACAACATGTACAATAAAAAAAATTGCAAACAAAATAATATGTGGCGGAATACAATAAAAATTAGTTTACGCTTGTCGCGGCCGCAGATTTATTATTGGGGTCGTATTCAGCCACAAACATGTTGGCAGAGAACTTAGAACAATAATAATAAGCAAGTGAAAAAAACGTAAGTATATGTTTACAACTTGTTTGATACAACCATTGGCATGTTGTAATGATTTTGTCGAGAGCAGTGATGAGATTTACAAATTATTATTTCGTACTAAAGCATTTTGAAAAGGGTACCAAATTATAATATGTTGTACCAAAATTACAGACGAGAAACTTTTTCGGATTTTAGGTTTTGCAAAATCGCTTCATTTTAGTACCTTATAAAAAATTGATAAATTCGTATAAACTGCTTCTCTTTATCTCTCTCCTTATATTTGTTCAAAAGATTTTGAAATTTGAGTTTGATTAGTTGACATTGAGCGCTATATTATGGAAATTTGATAACATGTCAGATATTTAGACATATTTTATAAAGTTTACGTATTTTAACTTTAGCCAAAGAGAGAAGTGACTAAAACTACAAAAACGCTATGTTGTCAGCACCGTTTGAGTTGTCTGATAACACAAAGATGTTGCAACAGAACATGCTTGAGATAAAACTAACACCATTTCCAATAAGAATGTTACTCTGATTGGTAAAGCAAAAACATCACGGCGGACATGTTATGAAATTTCAAAGCAAATACCACAGTTCAAAAAAATTTTCACACGGTGTCTAAAGAAACCTCTCTAAAGCATTGAGGAGCCCTAAATTCGAATGTATCATGTACAACAAGTTTTAAAGATAATATTTGCAAAAATAACGCTTTTGATCATATTTGAGACATTATAATAGCGCGAGATCATCTGAAAGTCTAATCTATCGACTTTAAAATAAAATTGTATTTCTCTTTTTCAAGATATCTTAATCTAATGCTTGGAAATTCAAAATTCATGTTCAGTACTTATCCATTATTAAGTCAAAGACAAAGGAAAATTCAATGGTATCACTATTCTATAGTCAGGACTATAGACTATTCTATAGTCAGAACTATAGACTATTCTATAGTCAGGACTATAGACTATTCTATAGTCAGGACTATAGACTATTCTATAGTTAAGACTATTCATAGACAAGACTATACACTTTTCATAGTCAAGACTACAGACTATTCTATAGTCAAAACTATAGACTATTCTATAACAAAGGCTATAGTCAAAACTATAGACTATTCTATAGTCAAGACTATAGACAATTCTATAGTCAAAACTATAGACTATTCTATAGTCGAGACTATAGACTATTCTATAGTCAAGACTATAGACTACTCTATAGTTAAGACTATAATCTATTCTATAGTCAAGACAATAGACTATTCTATAGTCAAAACTATAGACTATTCTATAGCCAAGACTATAGACTATTCTATATCCAAGACTATAGACTATTCTATAGTCAAGACTATAGACTATTCTATAGTTTTGACAATAGAATAGTCTATTGTCTTGACTGTAGAATAGTTTATAGTCTTGACAATAGAATGGTCTATAGTCTTGACTATAGAATCGTCTATAGTCTTGACTGTAGAATCGTCTATAGTCTTGACTATAGAATAGTCTATAGTCTTGACTATAGAATAGTCTATAGTCTTTACTATAATAGACTATAGACTATTTGATAGTTTTGACTATAGAATAGTCTATAGTCTTTATTATAATAGACTATAGACTATTCTATAGTCAAGACTATAGACTATTCTATAGTATTGACAATAGAATAGTCTATTGTCTTGACTATAGTATAGTTTATAGTCTTGACAATAGAATCGTCTATAGTCTTGACAATAGAATCGTCTATAGTCTTGACTATAGAATCGTCTATAGTCTTGACTGTAGAATCGTCTATAGTCTTGACTATAGAATAGTCTATAGTCTTGACTATAGAATAGTCTATAGTCTTGATTATAGAATAGTCTATAGTTTTGACTATAGTCTTTGTTATAGAATAGTCTATAGTTTTGACTATAGAGTAGTCTGTAGTCTTGACTATGAAAAGTGTATAGTCTTGTCTATGAATAGTCTTAACTATAGAATAGTCTATAGTCCTGACTATAGAATAGTCTATAGTCCTGACTATAGAATAGTCTATAGTCCTGACTATAGAATAGTCTATAGTCCTGACTATAGAATAGTCTATAGTCCTGACTATAGAATAGTCTATAGTCTTTACTATAATAGACTATAGACTATTTGATAGTCAAGACTATAGACTATTCTGTAGTTAATAGACTATTCTATAATTAAGACTATGGTCAAAACTATAGACTATTCTATAGTCAAGACTATAGACTATTCTAAAGTCAAGACTATAAACTATTCTATAGTCAAGACTATAGACTATTCTATAGTTTTGACAATAGAATAGTCTATTGTCTTGACTATAGAATAGTTTATAGTCTTGACTGTAGAATCGCCTATAGTCTTGACTATAGAATAGTCTATAGTCTTGACTATAGAATAGTCTATAGTCTTTACTATAATAGACTATAGACTATTTGATAGTCAAGACTATAGACTATTCTATAGTTAATAGACTATTCTATAATTAAGACTATGGTCAAAACTATAGACTATTCTATAGTCAAGACTATAGACTATTCTAAAGTCAAGACTATAAACTATTCTATAGTCGAGGCTATAGAATAGTCTATAGTCAAGACTATAGACTATTCTATAGCAAAGACTACAGACTGTTCTATAGACAAGACTATAGACTATTCTTTGGTCAAGACTATAAACTATTTTATAGATTATTCTATTGTCAAGACTGTGGATATTGTATAGTGAAGACTATAGACTATTCTATAGTCCAGAATATAGATTATTGTATCCAGGGTGTTCTGAAAACTGATTTTAACATACACACAGACAGATAAAAAGACGGACATGGCCCCTATTATGGGGCTATAAGAATCTGTTACAATATTGACTATTTTCAATACAAACTAACCCATATAAAAAGTATAGATTTTTTTCATGGGAACCTCCTAGAAAATATAAACTTTTTCATTCTTCAGCTTATCTTAAGTTAATTATAAATAATAATTTTCATATAATTGATCTCAATCAAAAATATCATTTATTTTCAGAATAATTCTCATAATCAAAAAATATATAACAAAAATAAAAATTTTATAAAAAATACTACTTTCATTTCTCAAACAAATTTCCTGCCAAAAAATTCCATTAAAATAGATTTATGATAAGAAATTTGAAATTTCTAATCAACAACAACTTTCGCTACCGTAACCATAATCTTTTGTATGTTCTATTATTATTTTTTTTTTTTTTTGATATTTTTTTGAAATAAACAAATCTAAAAACCCAGTTTTAATACTATTATTATTGAAATTATTACTGCTGTTTTTTGTTTGGTTTATGTCAAAACAATAACTTTATTAAAGATTAGTGTGATAAAAAGACTACTTTTTACCTTTGTGTTTCACTTTTTTTGAGGCTAATTGATGCTCAACTAACCATATTGACCCATTGACATGACAAACTACATGTCACAGCATTCTAAAGCCACACAATAGAAATTAGAACATTTAACAAAAACTTAAATAGCTTTAGGTTGCATAAAATTAACTAAAGTTGAATGAATAGAGACGATAAGTAAAAGTCAAAAACATTGTTGAAAGATCTTTTCATCATAAATGCAAATGAAAAGTTGAGGAAGAAAGTTAAATTAAGAAAACTTAAGGCAACACGTATATAATAAAGATTTTATGCCCTAAATTTAAATAAACATGGTTTATTTTTGTTTTGTTTGTTTCTTTGGGTTGTTGAACAAAATAGAAAATTTAATAAAAAATACCAACGAAAATTTAACAAAACATAACAAATGTTCTGTAGTAGTTTTTTTCTAAACAAAACCATAACAAAATTCTGTTTTATTAAGATATAGGGAGAGTTAAGAAAACAAAGCTTTTACTCAAACACTCAAAAGCTGGCTTAAATGTTACTCTTTAAAAGCTAACTCAAATGTAACTACTTGCAACAACAGCCTTGGCAATGACTTTGATTGTTTGTTTGTTTGCTTGCTGTGTACAGCTGTTTGGCAGAGCAGCAGTTTAAGACAACAAAACGAAACAGTTGTTAGTTGTTAAAAGAGTTTGCTAGCCAAAGGTTGTGGCTAACGGGCGTTTTATCTGAAATCGTGTTGAAATTAAAAAAATCTCTAAAACATTTCTATTCCAACAATAATAATGTTTGTTGCTTAAGTCTTTTGTTTGCTGGCTTTATTAAAACCTTAACACTTAAAGTTTGTTGCTTAAGTCTTTCGTTTATTCTAATCTTACTACTCAAACTAAATAAAAATCAAGCAAAACCTTTAAATATCTAAAAAAAAATCCTGTAAATGTTGAAAAAAATTTAAACAAGTGCGTGTTTATTATAAATAAATTTTAAATTTATGTAAAATTTTCTTTTACTCATTTCAACATTCAATCATTTAAATTAAATTTTTACTTAATTAGTGTTATAACAACATCATAAAATCTTAAAAAAAAAAAATAAAGAAAAGCAAATAATTTTTAAAACGTAAAATTCATAAAAAAATTCATAAAAAATGAGAGTGTATTCTTCACCAAGCTTAAACAATTGTTTTAGAAAAAGTGCAAAAAATAAAACAAATTTAATGCAGTTCAAACAACAAAAACATCATGATCATCATGATGATGATGATGATCGCAAGCCATGGTCATTGCCTATAAAACATAGTTATTTTTTCGCTTTCGTCTTCGTTACGCTTTTCATGCAACATTATGTGATTATTGCGGCCGCAAATGATGCTACACAATTCAACAGTGGCTCTTTGGTTGATGGTGTAACAAAAGGATTTAGAAATCGCATGCGTTCACCTAAAATCTCCAGTATACACAATGTCCAAACTGTATCCAAAAGTCTACCAAAGAGTCGTGTTGCTTTGGAGTCAGCAGTAGCTGCTGATAATCAAACAAATATTATAGCACCAGCTGGTGGTAAATTTGGTAAGTTGTATAAAAAGTATTAAAGAGTGGTTGATGTTGGTGGTTGTGGCTAGTGTCTTGTGCCATCATTGTAACAGTCAAGTTCAAGGACATGGTTATTGGGAAAATGTTGATTAAAAAAATGTTATAGTTTGTCTTTAAATTGTTTGGTTTTTATCAACAATTTCAAAACCCACAGTTTTTCTTATAGATCCTTATTCAAACAGTTCCGCTCGTAAATTCTCTAATAGGGGAAATTTGGGAAATATTGATATTGTCATTCTGTTTGTAACATATCCAAATATTGGTCATAGACCCACAAAAGTATATATATTCTAGGTCCCTATCAGGTTCTAAGATGACCAAGCCATGTCCGTCTGTCTGTCAGTTGAAAGCACTATAGAGTCTGAACGGAAAGAGCTAGAAGGTTGAAATTTTCCACAACTGTTTCTAAGAGACAAGGTTTGTTTGGTATTGAAAATGGGCAATATCGTATGACGTTTTCGGATAGCCCCAATACAAGTGGACCCCCGAAAAACAGCATAACTGTTTTAAAAGTTCAAGTATAACGATGAAATTCGATATAAATAAGTTACATCTGAGCCAAAATGTCTCTAACAAATTTTATTAGGATCGGTCCGTACCCCCATCTAAGGTCCCCTACAAATATAACGATGAAATTCGACATAAAAAGATTTCATATGAGCCAATATCTCTCTACCAAATTTTATGTGGATCGGTCTATAATTGACCCTACCCCCTGTATAAGATTCCCTTCAGAAAATGACTTTAACGCCCATTACTGACTTAAAAATACAAATATAGTGATGAAATTCGACACACATAAGTTCTATGAGAGCCAAATTATATCCACCAGTTTTTTTTAGGATCGGCCCGTAAATGGCCCTATAAGATCCCCTTCAGAAAATGACATTATTGGCTTAAAAATACCCATATAGCAATGAAATTCGACACACATAAGTTTTATGAGAGCCAAAATCTCACCACCAAGTTTTTTGAGGAACGTCCTATAAATGACCCTACCCCCAACTAAGGTCCCCTTCAGAAAATTACTTTAACGCTCATTACTGGCTAAAAAATGTGAGTATAGCGATGAAATTTGACATAAGTAAGTTTCTTATGAGCCAACACCTCTCTACTGACTTTTATGGGAATCGGTTCATAATTGACCCATACATCCCATATAAGGTCCCTTTCAGTAAATTACTTTAACCCTCATTACTGGCTTAAAAATACAAGTATGGCGATAAAATTTGACACAAGTAACTTTCTTTCGAGCAAGAGAAAGGCTCCGCTCTTTCTTCTAAAATTCTTATCTTCCTAAAAGATAACTTCCAATCCTATCCATTCTACAAACCAAGACCCTTAGAGTTTGGGGCAATGAAGCAAAACATGTATGACTAGCTTAAATTAGATCTCTATTAATTTGAGAGTTGATCTGTTGTGTCTTAATGCACGACAGATCATGTTGCTTCATCAGTATTTATTGAAGGTGTAAATATTAAGGAATCAGAAGTTCTTGATGTACAGGGCATGAGAATTCAGTGTGTTATTCGCTGGACTACACACATATTTCAAGTGTTGAAAGAAGGATTTAAGTGTCTTGGTTTTGTAAATCGGTATAAGACTAAACTATGTCTCCATCTGATCTTCTCACTATATATACCACTTATATCCGACTAAAATTGGAAAAAAAACTCTCTTGTATGCACCGGTATTTCAAAGTGTATTTTGAGACTACTTGACTGCATTCAGGAGAGGTCTAGTGTAATTATCGGTCAAGTAAAAGTAAAGTAATCAACTCTATTGAAAGGTAATTCTAAGGGTATCACAATGGGCCACAAGGCCTCCGAGTGAACTCGCTAACTAGCGAGCAATCCATGTAACTAACCTAACTCTATTGACTCACTAGAGCACCGTCGCAATGTGGGACGTTCTACTACTACTGATACTACAATTCGTTTGAAATTAAAGAACTAATTCTCGAAACCCGCGCAACACATGTCTTTCATCAAGAACACACCCATATATTCTCAGTTAGGCAGTGGATAGCACAATGCATTACAGTGAGAATTAGTTCCTTATGTCGGTATGTGGAACAAACTTCCCCCCAGAAGTCTTCCCTGGGAGAAGTATGTTCCACCTGCAATGTAAGTAAGTTTAAATCGAATATTCCCAAACACTCTATCCTCCTTCGCATAAGCTATTTACCTAGTTCCAACACTATGTACTGCATAAGTAAGAGTCATCACCGGAGTGCTGGTCCTAAAAATAAAAAATGGACTAAAAAGGTGTAATTTCTATTCTGAAGTGAAGCTTGTCCTATAATAAGCGTTCTGCATCGAAACACATAGTACTTGGAATGAGCAAGGTGAGTGGGACAAATGGTTTAATGCTCCCTGTGTTTAATATACGAGTTATCTAACACAATGCTAACTGTCAGACTGATGGACATAGCAGCAACATTAACACAAACGCATAACATCCTCCCCACAACAGAGGTTTAGTAGATAAATAGTCATTTATTTCTAAGCAAATAATGTCACGCCTAGTCCAACCTTTAAAATAAATATATAATTAGCAAATTCTTGAAGTCACCTTTATAATTAAAGGTCACACGTACATCAAAATTTCTATTCAACTCGAAAGAAAAATCTTAATTTTCATTTCAAAACATTTTTACGGTTACTATGTCAAACACAAATACAACTTATTTATTTAACAACAAAATTCTAGACAAGTTAAAATTTTCAAATACTCATCAACCAAATACTTGGTTGGCACATCATCAACATAAAGAATGTTAAAAAACAACAACAACAACATCATCATCATCACAAACAACAACAACAACAAACATTCAAATCAAAACATCAGCAGCAACATCTTAAGAATCATTATTTCTTATAAACAACTGCGAATTTGATGTAAAATCTAAATGTACGAATGTCTGTATAAAACGCAAGTAAAAACAAAGAAAACTTATAATTTTAAATAAAAACGCAAAGTTTTTGCTGTTTTTTTTTTTTAATCATAAACAAAATATTCAAAACAACATTGTTAGAGTAAATAAATGACACCATTCTGGTTTTTAATGACTTTAAAGTTTTTTGGAGAATGAATAATGACTGTCATAATGAATATGACAACAACGCAAATGTTTAACAACATATACAACAACATTAAACAAACAACAACAACCAGAAACAACATCAACAGCAGCAGCAAGCATCAACAAGCAATAAGTTTGCTGTGCATTTGACAACAAAATATAAACAAATATGGCATTAAATTTTGAAAATTTACACATCTCCTCTAAATGTCAAACATACAAACAAATATACACTTAAGCTCACTTGCTTAAACGCAATAAATTTTGTATGAGTGTATACTTGCACATGTATGCTGTTGTGATAACCCAATAAACAAACAAATTGTAGTAGAATTCTACTCCATATATCGCTATTAATACAAGCAATCAGTAAATTTAAAGTTATTTTATAAAACGGGCTTTATACTTATATGGACCACTTTTTGCTTTATATATGGATTTAGGCTGATTTACATATTCAAAATATCTTCAAGAGATTTCTGAGTCTTAAATCAAATTAGAGAAAGGATCCACATCCAGATCATGGCCTGCTTAATAAATGATTTTCAAACACTTCGATCTTATGGGTCTCAAGTTTATAATACCAAGAGTTTTCGTATATTCTTTCATCAGAGTGTCGATTTTTCCTATCTACGCTTTCCGTAAAAGTTTTCATCTTATATCCTTCTGGCTGGAACGTTCATTTCCATTCGACCTACATGTCTGAACAAACGCAATCGTTATATACTCTTCATTCACTCTGATGGGTCCATATATTTTACGAAGTATTTCCTAAATCACATCAAATATTGCTTCATCTGCCTTCGCAAATACAGAGAGAGGACTCTGTTTTGCAGCTGTTTACTGAGTCCAAAGTAGTATCTATATGCCACAACCCTTATTTTTATCTCAGTGCTGAAATCGTTTCTCTGTTTAATAGCTGATCCGAGGAATACAAATTCGTCGACTATACGACATTGCAAATATTAGGCAGCATTATTTTCGTTTTGCCCCCATTTATCCATTTTCGATGACTCAACTAACCTGCCCAACCAGCAGATGCATACTAGGGATGCCAATCCCGAAATCCCGATCCCGAAAATCCCGGGATTTTTCGGGATTGGCAAATCCCGAATCCCGGGATTTGGAAAATAAATCCCGGGATTTTTTCGGGATTAGGATTTGTGTCAAAAAACTGTTTTTATTTTCTTTTTTTGAGCCATAATTTTCATTAATTTGAAAATTACGATCTTTTTTTCTTATTTTTGACTCATGCAAAACAAAATTCCGCAGAGCTAATTTTATACATATTTGAACCTTTTATTTTTTAAAGTGGTATGAGTCCGTACACATAGCACATATAAATTTATTTATTCACTTCGTTTTTATACCTTACACCACTTTAGTGGGGAGGGTATATTGGGTTTGTGCTGATGTTTGTTACACACAATAATATTGGTCCTATACCTTAAAGTATACCAATCGGCTCAGAATTATTTTCTGAGTCGATTTAGCTATGTCCTTCCGTCTGTCCGTCCGTCCGTGTAAACCTTGTAATCAAACTACAGCAATTTTGAAGATAATTCAATGAAATTTTGCATGATCTTCTATTGTACTAGAGACGGATCCTATTGAAAATGGATAACATCGGTCCAATATTTGACCTAGCCCCCATACAACTGAACCCCCCAAATAGGGTTTTTAAGTTCATAATTATGTTCAATATACTCGTAACTCGACAAAAAGCTGCAAAACCAAGTTCTATACTAGCCTTCATGACCCTGATGTATTTTTTGATGATGCGGCCTCATTTGACCCTAGCCCCTATGCAAAGCCCCCTTCGAAATATGACTTAAATGTACACAATTTTATTCAACAAAAAATAGCTAAATTATATCTGAGGCAAGGT